CATTTGCTTATCAAGAGCCTACAAAAGATCGCTGGCTTACTAGAGATTAATTAATTGAGACCGCCCCTCATATAGTTTCCTATTATGAAAGAGCTTGTAGAGGCGTCAACATAGTAGATCGATAAAATTTGTAACTCTCTCGGAGGACCTCGAAATCAGGCCGACAAGAGTGAAAGGCTTTTCTGCGACACATTTGCTTATCAAGAGCCTACAGAAGATCGCTGGTTTACTAGAGATGAATTAATTGAGACCGCCCCGCATGTAGTTTCATATTATGAAAGAGCTTGTAGAGGTGTCAACATAGTAGATCGATAAAGTTAGTAACTTTCTCGGAGGACCTCGAAATCAGGTCGACGAGAGTGAAAGGCTTTTTCACCTTGCAGACCCCTAATTTGAGTCTCAGGGTCCAGATCCCCAAATCCGGAAAAGGCCCAGATGACCGAAAAAAGGAAAGTGTCAAGTTGGGTACCCTTAGGCCACAAAGATCAAAATTTGATCGGTACCCGACCCTCAAAGTCCATTCCGACAGTCAAATGCAGCAGCGCTCCAAGTAAAAGTCTGGATGGTACCGGGCCTTAATATTTCAAAAGCAAACAGAGCGCGGGCGACGGGTACCAGTCAAAGTCAGGCCCAGGCCAAGTCAAGCAGAGGCCAAGTGAAGTGCAGGCCTAGTTTTAGTCAATAAGAAGACTGGCCCAGCCTCATTCAAACAGATTGCTCATTCGCGAGAAGGTGGAAGCGCTGTTGGGGCTTGTGGCTGAGCGCTAAGGAGCCCTGCTGGAAAGCGTTGTGTTGTGGAAGACAGGAGGTCATAGGCGCACAGTACTAGTAGTAGTAGAGTATGTGTAGGAGGTGGATGTATCCAAGGTTGTGATCCTCATAGTAGCAGAGTCTGAGAGAGAGAGTTCAAGGAAGAGAGAGAGAGAGAAAGAGAGAGAGGTGGTGAGGTTGTGCAATACAAGCCAAGAGAGAGAGAGAGAGAGAGAGAGAGAGAGAGAGAGAGAGAGAGAGAGAGAGGCAGCGAGGTTGTGTAATACAAGCCAAGAGAGAGAGAGGCGGCGAGGTTGTGTAATACAAGCCAAGAGAGAGAGAGAGGCAGC